GTGGGGCAATTTGCCCCGGGCCCCGCAGGGGCCCCCATGAGAATATACGATTCTATAGTATTGCAACTTTTTTTTATGGAAGGGGCCCCCAAAATTGCTTTGCCCCAGGCCCCCTGAATCCTCTGGGCGGCCCTGAATTTTTCTTATGTGAAGGGGTAAATAACACTTCCCTATTCACCATTCATGATCTTGTAGACCATCACCTCTATCATTGTATTGCCCTCCTCACCCCCCCCCCCAACCCCGCAAACCCCAATCTGACTTAAAAAAAACCTTTGCTGCTTTCCCCTCTGGATTGTGACTCACAAGATGCAGGACAGAATCTGTCTCTGTGTTACCTTAATGAGCTTGATGCTGTGTGTTAGACATAACTTTGTCTAAGGAAGAGAGTGAATTTCTCTGGATCTCTTCTATAAAGAAGTATTTAAAACCATAGACAACTAATATTAAGTGTTTGAGTAATTTTTTTTAAACTCTTACTTTCAATGTAGGGGTCAACCTACAAAACAAGATGAATATTCTCTTTCCAACTTTTAAATCTTTCCAGGATCTCATCGTGAATTACAAATAATCCCTCTTCTTTATTTTTTTTATAAATCCAAATAACTATCAGTGTATAATTCCCCCCATTGCAGAGGCTATTTCTCGTCACATGATGCATAGAGGGGCTTACATGGGGCACTTCTGCTATGGAGGTATGAATTCTACATGTACAGCTGTTTTAAATATTGAAAAGTAAGAGCTAGCACTCTATTGACAGGTGTGGAAATGGAGACATGGAGGTTAGGCTCCTTTGAAAACACCTGCCTTGAAGGGTTAAGCGCCCTGAAAATCTCTGTTTGAGACTTGCCTAAAGTCACACAGGACATTAGTCAGTAGCACAGACGAAAAAACAGAACCCAGATCTCGTCCCCTACTCGCTCCACTGGGCCACACGGCACTGCCTTCTTCACTAGAGGAATCTTTTCGCCTCCCACCCCCGTACAATTTCTTGTCATTAAAAGTCATTTCCGCAGATGAATTGCAACTGTGCGGATCACAGAGGTGGTGAACTAAACGCCTCTTCTCGCAGATCTCATCGTTTTGAGTCGTGAACTTGCTTTGCTTGTGCTTGATCTGCTTAATCTTTTGATGCATAATTAGGGAAAGGGCATTATTGCCAAATCCCCTTCAAAGGCTCTCGTTTGCCTCCAGCAGCCAGCCAGCCTGCTTCCCCACCAGTCACACGGAGCAGGGGGTGGGGAAGGGGTTGTAGTGCTTTTCTCAACGAAGACACCCCCCCGCTAGCCTGAGCCTCCTCCCTCTCTCAGATCATTTGAATAATAATGTCCCCTGAACACGCCATTGGCTGGTGGGAGCAGGACTCAGGCGTGACGTCAGCGGTGGCAGGGTAATACCTGGCTTGTGGCGGGTAGTTGGAGCCTGTAAAAACTCCTTGCAGCGGCCGCGAGCGGGCCAGGCAGCTGTGAGCCAGCGACTGCCACGAGCGGTGGCGGCAGCAGCGGCGGCGGCTGGCACTATAGACCGGCGGGCGGCTGCAGCTCTCCGGGGGGGCGTGGAGCTGCTGAGCCCCTCGCTCAGCCTCTCACCTGCTCCCGCCACGGACACTCGCAGCGGCTCCACAAATGTGATGGTTCAAGGTGCCGAGAGGAGTAAGACGTAGGGAGCTGGCCGGGGGACCCACTGTCTGAGCTCGTCCGCCCCACCAGCCGCTACAGCTACTCCAGAAAACCAGCAGCCGCTGGCCAAGGGACCCAAGGGGAGGCACTGGAGAGCCGGGCGTAGAGCCTGGGGGGACCCCCCCAAACTGAGGTCCCGTCTCCCCCCAGCAGCCAGCCACTCCAGAAACCCACCAGGACCCGTCCAAGGACAGGGCCAGCTCAGAGTGCAGGCGCAGCCAGTCGGGCTGGAGCAGGGTGTCTCCGGCCAGTGACAGGGGCGGGGAATTGGGAACAGGAGCTGGGCTGCTCCTGAAGTTCAGCGTGGGGTTTCCTCCTGCAAAGGGTCGGGCAAGAAGAAACGTCGCAGCGAGCAGCCGAGGCGCGCGCGAGAGACTCTCTGCAACTAGCCGGGGATGGGATCAGCTCCGGCCCCAGACGCAGCCCTGCCTTCCGGGGGAGCAGCCGAGCCGGGGCTGCCCGCTGGGGAAGGTGTGCGCTGCTGAGGCGGGAGCGGGCCAGCCCAGCCGCACTTGTGAATGGCCGTGTCGTGCAGAGGAGTGTGAGAAGAGACACCCTCGTGTCTGCACATCGGGCTCGGACACACGCATCCGGCCAGCGGCGGGCTCCGGTGAGAGAGGACAGCGGCTCGCCTGGATCTGGCTGGTGATTGACTAGGAGGGATTGCCAGGAATCCAGTGGGTCCCGGGGGTGCCTGAGCGGGGAGGCGATCCAGGGATTCCCTTGGCTCCCTGCAGCTCCTGCTGGTGACGGAGTAGAGGGATCCAGTGGCTCCCCTGAGCTCTTGCACGTGAGGGAGTCGGGGAATCACCCGGGAACCCCCGTGAATCCAGCTGGTGACTGAGTCGGGGGGATCCCCTAGAATCCAGTGTATCCTTCACCCACCACATGCTAATATGAAAGCTGCCAGCCTTTCCCCCTTCTTTGTGGCCACCGTGCTCCTCTCCTTCCCCCCAGCCCTGAGCTTGGAAGAGAGGACCCCTCTCGCCGGCTCCCGGCCTGGGCAGCAGCTGCAGCGAGAACCCCCCAGCTTCTCCCGGCTCCAGAGGAAGAGCCTGGCGGTAGATTTCATCGTCCCTTCCCTGTTCCGGACCTACCTGCGGGACCTGCTGCTGGGCGGAGGGGAAGCAGTGGGCTGGCTCCGGGCCCGCTGCAGCCTGGTGCTGGAGTGCTCGCCCCTGCTTCGGGCGGTGAACTCCTGGCTTCCCGGGGCCGGATCCCCGCAGCAGCCAGCCCGGCCTCGAGCCCTGTCCAAGGTGCTGAAAGGGGGCTCGGTGCGAAAGCTCCGCCGAGCCAAGCAGCTGGTGCTGGAGGTGGGAGAGGGGAGCCTGCGGGAGGGCTGCGCCTGGGACCCGACCCAGGCAGCGGGCGAAGAAGCAGAGCCAGCTGCGGGCGAGCTGGAGTTTAACCTCACCGAGCTGTTCAGCTGGTGGATCCGCTCCGGAGAAGGAAGGCTGAGGATCCGGCTGATGCCCGAGAGGAAAGCGGCATTCATGGGCAGGGAGAGCAGCTTATCCGCGGCGATCAGAGCCTCCCAGCCCCGCCTGCTCTTTCAGATCTCCAGGAGAGGTGAGCAGTTGCGTTGCGTGCCCTGGCGTTATAACTTGCGCCCGTATAAGCTCAGTGTTTCCACCTAGCCCTGAGAACTTCCCCTTGGGGCTGATCGGGCCACAGTTACTCTGCCCATTTACCGTCTCCCTTACACTGAGGCTGGGGAAAGTTTGGAGAACATGCCAGGATCCAAGCCCTTGTTTGTTCTCTCCCCACCGCCTGTGTTTACACCTCCTGAGTGGGGGGGGGGGGGCTTCCTTGCGCCTCCAGGGTACCATCCCTCTGGACACGACTAAACGAGCCCTGCAAAGGGGACTTGTCGCTCTGGTTCGTCAAAGACACGTCTGAAGAGCGTGTTGTGTTGGGACCACACTAGATTGCATCAGATGGCCGGGGTCAAAAATAAATACCTGGGGGATCCTCCCTGGAAGTCTCCCACCACACTCTCTGCTGACCCCACAACGCCTCGGGCTCCCTACGAGAGGTTTCTCTTCTCATTCTGCAAACTGGCCAGTCTGAATTGTGCATCCAGCTGCAGAGCGCAAAGCAGACAACATACATGGAAGGACAGGAGGTGTGTGTGAATAAGGGACATTTAGAAGTGGTTTTCCTTCCTCTTTCCCTCCTTATTCCATCCTCCCACCTCCGTTCTGTGGCCGGCCGCTCCCAGTGGCAGTGGCTGGCAGTAATCAGCACTGCAGATTTCTTTACAGGGGGGTCCTGCAATGCTGTCTTATCTGCTCTATCTAGAAACATTCGGGCTGGTTCAATAATATAGCCTTGGTTAAACACCTTCGCTCGAGATTTCCCTGCTCTCCTATCTCCCCCAGCTCCAGCAGGACTAGTGGCCAGGAGAATGCCGCCTTCTATTAAGTAAGAGGGGAAAGGACCTAGAGACTCGCTGTGGGGCTAATCTTGGTTTTGAGGGATGGGCTATATCCCTCTGCCTCTGAGAAGTAGTAGGGCGCAAATGCTAGATTCCTGCCTTTTCCACCCACTTGATTGTTTGTAAAGAAAAATCAATCCGAGTTGGGGCTTTTTCCTCGTGTCTTGTTTTTGGTACGCTTTAATAGAACAGAATGTGCCAGGGGATGATCGCAGTGGGGAAGATGATGTAGAAAACATCCGGCTGTTTTGTTAAACCGGGTGAGTTTGTTTGTTCCATTCAGACACAGGGACTCGAAGTCCAGCTACTCACCCATAGTGTAGTCCTGCTCTCCTTGAAGTCAATGGCAATACTACCGCTGACCTAAGCAGTGCAGGATCCGGATCTATAAAGTGGAGAAATAGGGTATTAATTTGGTAATAACGGAGGCAAACCTCACTGTAGTGCAACGAGTGATTTCCAGGTTCTCCTCTAACACCAACCCCAAGGTAGCAAAAACACTGATACAATTGATAATAGCAACACAATGAGGCATGAATATGATGAAGGGACATAGCGTGATAGCAAATGCCCAAAACAAATATACGGCATGAGAACGCGGTTGATTCTCCTTCAGTTGGATATAAAGTGGGGCTTAATTGAACTTCTTCACCCTTTTGAATCCAAGGAGTCTAACGTGAACTGGCATTGCAAAGGTTAAAGTAGTAGGGAGGACAACAGCTCTGTTAGCACTGATACTTCTCTAATGAATCAAGCTATGTAAGGACAACTTGAATTCCTCAGATAAAAGGTCTTTGTTCTGTGCCAGTAAAGGAGATTTCTTCTCATTATCCACAATTATTTAAGCTCTAATATTAGCTTTCTTTTGTTGTCTCCTACAGAAAGAACATAAACCCTAATGGACAGCATAGCCAAATACTTTGACCCAGGGAGAGTAGTTGGGTAGCTATTTAATGGACCGCAGAATATACTTAAGTAAAGTCTGAAGAGACAACTTACTACTGGGGCTTGAAGCACAATGCTGAAGCAGCCAGCTTTGAGCTCATAACTGAAAAAATGGGCCAGCAGTTTAAATTGGTTGAAACTAACTTCAGGGGACCCACTTCAGATTTCCACTGGTATAAAACTGAAATCACACTGGCCTTTCAAAGCTGGGTCTATACAGACCTGCCAAAAAAGTGGGCTTTTTCTTACAGCCAGATAACTAAAACAGGTCATTGATCTGGCTGTAAAATCCTAATGGAGACCAAACACATGTAGCATTTACTACGATGTAGCTAGGTAGGATTCTTTCCCCCCTCCCCACTATGGCTGACCTCACATAGCTACATCATAGTAAAACTCTCTTCTGTCTCCATTGAGACTTAACAGTGTCACAACTAGCCCATGTTAGTTATCTTGCTGGTTCTGTTAACTTTTTTCCTTCAGTGAAGCCATTGCTAAAGGAGTTGTCTTCACTGTTTAAGAAAAGCCATGGTTGAGCCTGAGTTAACATGCTCCACATTCATGCAACAAAATGCCTTTCTCTGTGCTACATGGTGAGGTAGCCACCACTGCCTGAGCTAGAGGGCAAACTCTGAGATATCTGTTAAGGTACATTTACCCCGAGGTAACTGCAGTGAAGACATGTTGCCAAAGGTAGTCTCAACAGTTAAGGCTTGTTGGTCCTTCAATCCATTCCCATAAGCTCCCTGACCAGAAATAAACCATCAGTCTCCCTCTGCTCAGCTCCCTCCTCCCCTCTGCCCAACCTCCTGTTTGCAGTTTCTTACCCGGCTCTGGCCAAGATCCCAGCTGAAATGGGGGACACAGTTTCTAAAACCAGTTTAGCTCCACTGGTTGGAGCAGTGATGGGAGGTGTAGTGTCTGGGCGTGTATTCCGTAGGAATAAAGTTATATTTAACCTGTGTTAAGTGAACCCATGTTAGCTAACTGGTGTTACACTCCTAGTGAAAAAAAGGCAGCTGTATGTTTAGCCCACGTTAGATGGTAAACCCTAATACGTTTTACAATACCAGGGGCCATAGGCCAAAGGAAGGTGTGTTTTTTTGTTTTTACTGGAGATCATCAATGTGCATTAGTGATCTCAGTGTAAAAGCCTAGCAGAGACCAGGCTTTACCTTGATGTGTCTCAGCAAGGTCCCTGCTAGGTGATGGGATAGTGTTGAGCATGATTAAAAACTACAGAGCCTTGGCTCCACTTCGATTTTATACCAAGATAGCTCATGTGCTTTCATTACCTCACTGTAATCCAGACAGGGGCGGCTCTATGTTTTTTGCTGCCCCAAGCACGGCAGTCAGGCGGCTTTCGGCGGCGCACCTGTGGGCGGTCCGCTGGTCATGCGGATTCGGCAGCATGCCTGCGGGTGATCTTCCGGTCCCGTGCCATCGGCGTCCCCGCCGCTGAATTGCTGCTGAAGCCACGAGACCGGCGGACCTCCCACAGGCATGCCACTGAAAGCCGCCTGCCTGCCGCCCTCACAGCGACCGGCAGGCTGCCCCCCACGGATTGCCGCCACAGGCATGCGCTTGGTGCCCAGGATTGTAGTTCACATAGGGTATATCTATGCTGCAATTAGACACCCAGTTGACTCAAGCTTGTGCTAAAGCCAGGGGTTCCGGAACACAGGCGGGCTAAGAGGCCATGGCCCTCCCACTTTTTGCCATGGGCCCAGCCCTCTGCTCATGTTTTTTCCCCCCTGAGGCTCTGCCCCTGGCCAGACAGGAAGCTGAAGCCCAGCTCAGGTAAGAGAAGCCCAGGGAGCCCGGGCAGCTGTGGGGAGCCGCAGCAGACCCTCCACCTGCCTGGGGTGGGGGGCCCAAGAGCAGTCCCTGACCCATGTCCCCATCCCCTGGACTCCCTGCCCAGGGCAGATGGAGGATCCGTGGATCTCCACAGCTGCCTGGGTGGCTTTTGCTATGGCCCAGCTGCGGCTCTTCGGCCCCCAGGGCCTCAACCCAAGGCCAGGCCGGTAAGAGCTGCACGGCCAGCTGTGGGGAGCCGTGGACCCTCCATCTGCCCTGGGTGACGGACCCGGGGGTCGTGGCCACAGGCCGGGGGCTGCTCTTGGGCCCCCCCAGCCTGGCTCTGGCTTCCAGTTTGTCGTGGGGGCAAGGCCTTGGGGGAAGAGGAGGAGCAGAGGTATGGCCATGGAGGGGCGGGGGTCCTCATTTCCCCCCACACACACTTTTAGGAAAAATCCGTCACCCCTGGCTAAAGAGCTGTTTAACTGTGGTGCAGACATTTGGCCTTGGGCTGCAGCCTGAGCTCTGGGACCCTCTCATTTTGCAGGGTCCTAGAGCCTGAGCTCCAGCCTGAGCTCAAACATCTATACTGCAGTTAAACAGCCCCTTAGTTGGAGTCAGCTGGCATGGGCCAATCACAGGTTTGATTGCAGTGTAGACACATCTGTACAGACATAATTAAATATTTTTGCCAAATGGTCCAAGGTTAAATTTTGGTTAGATGGGCAGGGAGCCAAAAGTGGCTAAACTGTGTTTGGCTTTGCTTTATTCTTTAGCTATCCCACTCACTCAAGGATATTTAGTGAGTTAGCCCTCCCCCTTGTCAACAAGTCTTACTAAGAGATGTTACCACACAGAATTGTGTTTGGCGGGGAGAGAGAGAAAAACTAAGGGAACCATTGTTGTTCAGTAGACAAACCATAAAGGTGCCAGGAACTTCCACAAAATATGCCTGTGAAAATTCTCAGGGCCAAATTACTGTCCCACTCTCATGGACATGAAATACTCTATATGAAATTTCGCCCTTCACAGAAGGCCTATTCATCACCTATGCATCACGAAAGACCAACTTATGCCTTCTGGAGTCATGGGTGTAAGGGGGATTTAAGTAGTGTATAGGCCTTGTGCCGGCCCTCTTTGCAGGGAGTGAATGCCCCCCTACATGCAGTGGAACAGACATGAAGACACCATTGTGGCAGCATGGAGCAGGGTAGTTTAGAAGAGCTCTAGTAGCATGATCAATGGATCTACAGCTACCTGGATAATCCACTATGCCCTAATTACTAGATCAGGCATTCTCTCACATATTAACATCACAGGTAGTCAGCACACTTACAGTAGGACACCTGGTCTACAAATGTTAAGTGGGTTTCTTGTGAGTCTAGTC